TTGTTGTTGTTTTACCATTGATGTAATTAAAAATATAGGGCAGCAATGTTCAGCACCAATTAAGAAGGATGCATTTTGGATCACCAACGAAGAGGGAATTGGAATAAAGCACAAAGGACACGCCACTACCATCAAGATACCCAATCTAGCCAAAAGCACCCCTAGTGATTTTGTTGACAATGCTGCTACTTTTGAGCCTTCATCGCAATATGTTGGTGAGCCACCTACTCCAATTCTAATTCCCATTTCAACTAATAGGTTGTTACCTTCTTTGGTGCAAGTACCCAATCAAATCCAAGGTGGTGAGAAAGTTTACTTTGACTTTAGTAAGCTAAACACCACAATCAGGGAGGATCACTATCCATTTCCTTTCATAGAGCCTTATTATGAGTACTTTGAGGGGCAGGTTATGGAAGATGCACCCCTCCATGCCGTGGGCACTAATGGAGCTTAAAAGGAGGTATCGTTCGGCTGGAAGACGTTAAAGCAAGCGCTTCTTGGGAGGCAATCCATGCGTTCAAATAAAGAAGACCTAGGAATCTCCGGCTCCACAACCAAATTTGCGTTCCTAAACCCTACTCTTTATTGCTTCTCTTTTGCCATTATTGTTGTGTTTGTTAGATGTGTTATTTGTTTGTTTGTTTGTGAGTCTACGTTTGAAACATTGAGGACAATGTTGGGTTTAAGTGTGGGGGGGAGGGGGGGGTGGGGGGGTAACAAATGATTTTTCATTGATTATCGTGGGATTTTATCACCCATCACTTCTAAAGTTGTTAGTCACTGTTTTTAAGTGCTTTTAGTGTGTTTTGTGGTGTTTTAATGTGTCCTATAACAGAAAATCCGAAAATTTGAAAAAAAAAATCGAAAAAAAGTGTTTAAAAAGCCCAAAAAGAGTTGCTTTTAGAGTCATTTTTGTTTTTGTGTGTTGTGTCTTAGGATACCTTCCAACACAATGATGAGGATTTGGTTTTTAATTACATGACTGCCAAAGAAAGTGACAAGCATGGATGGAAGTTTAATATGCTCTTTTGTTTATGCTTAGTTGTAGTTGTCATTAACAAATTCACATGTAATCACAAAAAGAAAAAAAATCAGTTTTTGTAACATGCTTGAAGGAAAGAACTCAAACTAACGCTATAACCCTGAGAGACTTGAGCCTATACTTTATTTGGAGAGTTATTAATCTTGATGTTTTTGTTTTCTATAGTCATTGAATGATCTCATTATTTCTTTGCTTGGTTGCTACTTAGAATGCGTTTCATCACTATAGTTCCAAATACTAGAACTCATGCCCGTTTCATTCAAAACATAAAATTGAGTGCATAACATATAAACAAGATGAAGTTGTTTAGTTAAAACCAGAGCCAAAAAGCCTTACCCTTTGCATATGTATTGTAGGTTTAACCCCTTTGAGCCTTATTTAGCCTATTTTCTTTGTTAGGCACATTATCCTTACCTAGACTAGAATAGGAATATCCATATCCTTGTTCTTAAAGCATGACTTAGACGAAATTCCTTTTGTTCTACAAATTGCAGAAAAACAAGTGTGGGGGAAGGATTTTCTTTGGAATTCTATGAGGTTGTACGTGTAGTGTGCCAAAGAAAGAGAAAGGGCACGAGAAAATAAAAATTAAAAATTGAACGTGAAAAAGAAATAAAAAAGAAGAAGAAAAAGTCGAAGAAAAGACAGAAATAGAGTTGAAAATAAGTGAGAATGAACTCACAAGTATTGGTTGTTGAAGAAAGGGTCCAAAAGTTTGAATCTGACCCTAAGTGATGTGTGAATCTTCCTTTCGAGAGTGAATTCTAAGTGCTTATTTCATTACTTCACTTACTATTGCTTTAAGAACTTTTGTTTATCCTTACCTTTCTTTGTTAGCCAATACCTTAGCCCCGTTACAACCCTTAGAATTTGATTTTGATTGTTATGTTTTTCAATATGTGGAGTTTAGAATTGGTATGAGCATATGGTATCTCTGGTTCTCGCGTCTAAGTAGTGGCATTTCATTCATGAGATCATATACATGTTAATAATTCCAGAAATTGCCTTCTTTGTCATGACATATGTGAGTTTTAGTCTACATGTTTACATCAATCTTCTCACATATACCTAGTGTAGGGAGTGTAGTCAGAAAATATGTGAGAAAATAGAGAGTATATCCGGTGAGGAATTGAGGGATTCTCTAAGGAATGTTGCTACATTCAAAATGTTGTTTTAATTGATTAAATGCGAGCTAGTGAGTGATGACTACGGTTAAGTATATGCCCGAGGGTAGGGATAGCTAAAATTTGTGGGAGCAGTGATTTTTAACATGTCATGTTGCATTGAAAATCCCTGAGGCAATTGTTGGAAGGTTTAGGTTGTGTTTTGTTTTCTTTATTTTGCTCGGGGACTAGCAAAAGCTAAGCGTGGGGGAATTTGATGGGAGCATATTTATGCGACTTTGTTAGCTTGTTTCTTTGCATTTTGTAAGTTAGTTTCTATTTATTATACTGATTTAAGCTATTTTCATGTGTTTGTAGGTTTAAATGGCAAAAGAGGCAAGAAAGTGCATTTTGGTGCATTTTAGAGCAGTTTTGGGCTTGGAATGGATTACACATCATGGAGCGAGGTGGATGAACGAATTTGAAGATCAAGAGAGGCTAGGAATGTTCTTAATATCTGGAGAAACAAATTTGGAAGCATTGAAGATAAGGAATCAGCTACAAAGAAGGAACATTATCCAAACAACCTTATCTTATCCACACCTTATCCAACCTTATCTTATCTTAACCTAACCTAATCTTATTCCACCTTAATTCCAGCTGCAAAGAGGACTTAATTTTAGATTAATACACATAAAAACTTGGTTCTTGAAGGCCTATCTCTTCTCCTAAAAAGGTGCCGCAACATCCCTTCCAGAAACTCTAGAATCTGCCGCAGGTTGTATCCTTGTTGGAGTGAGCTGTGTAATCCTTTTTCAAAATTAATTTGTATCATATCAATCCCTCTCCAATCATGACATTGGTGCTACATCCCTGCCCTATAAATACCCCATCGTTCACCATAATTCACACCACCCTCTAGCATCCATTCACTCATTCAAACATTCATTCCTTCAGCCATCTCACCACCACCCATCATTCATCACAATTTCACAACACACATCCATCAATCACACAAATCCATTTTGTGCCGTAGCAAGGAAGAAAGGAGGAGCCACCTGGAGCCATGCTTGCCATTCAAGACGTTGGATTGTTGGAGCGTTCCTTGGTGTATTCTATTCTTTGTTTTCAATGTTTAAATTTAATTGTCTTTGTTTTGCGAACGTGAGGAACTAATTTCTTTTTAGCTAGAGGTGAATTCAAAGCCATGAATATATATGTGATATGAATTGATTTCCTCCAGTTATTGTTTCGTAAAACATGAATGTGATTTACTTATCTGTTTGATTGATAACTTATTCTTGTATGTTGATTAAGGGTGCACACTTAGTTTGCATGCATGAATTTGATGCTAGAATATAAGGGAATTTCACCTACTCGTTATGAACTTATATTTTAAGTAGTGGAGGTTGCTAGTCACAATCGTGTTAAGTAAATCGATGGCAGGAGTATCATGCAGTCCATAGTTACGAATGTCATGTCAATGCTTATGATTTTCACAAAGCTTAATGATCATTGATTGTATCTCTATTATGTTGTTCATCTAGGGAACTTGATAAGAATAATTTGGTTGCCAATGCGTATTCCATCCAATTCAATGAAATTAGGAAAATCTGAAAGTTAATTTGTGCTTTTCACGATTAATTTGGGGCATTGTCATTCATGGTTTAAAGGAATAATAACTGGAAATCGATTTAGATGCATATGTGTCATGTGTGGAGAAGGACTCTCTAGCTAGCCATTCACCCATTTAAACACCCAATTTCGTCCAAGTTGTTTAGAGTCTTTAAAATATGTTTGTCTTTACTTTAAATTCGTCAAAAACTCAATCCCCTTTGCTTTGTTGTGTCAAATTAGTTAGAATCTGTTTAAATTGGTTTCTTTTTAGTGTTTTGAGTCAACATAAGTTAGAATTCTTCCAAATTACTCCTTAGGTCCTGTTTTGAGTCAATTTAACTTAGTTTGTGTGTTTTAAGTCTATTTAGCTTAATTTGAGTCATATAAGTCTAGTTTTTTATTTTTAATTTTAAATTTGTGTTATTAAATCAGTTTAGAGTAGTTAGTATCCCTTCTAATCCCCGGCCTAGAATGATCCCTACTTACACATACTACAATTATAGGGTTTAATTTGTGTCTTATTATATATCACACCAAGTAGTCAACTAGACTGTGCATGTTCTTAACAGAAGCCCAACACTTGCTGTGAGAAACAAGATTCCAGAAAAGGCATGGAATGGAACAAAACCTAGGGTGAGTCATTTTAGGATTTTTGGATGTATTTCTCATGTCCATGTACCTGATACCAAGAGGGTTGAGCTTGACAACAAGTGTCTGAGATGCATATTTTTTGGGGTAAGTGAAGAGTCGAAAGCTTATAGATTATTTGATCCAATTTCTCAAAGAATAATTGTAAGCCGAGAAGTAGTTTTTGAAGAAGATTAAAGTTGGAATTAGGATGAAAGTCACAAAGAAGCATTGTGGCTGATCTTAAGTAGGCGACAGATGAAGAAGAGGGTACAGAAGGTGAAGACAATGAAGAAGACTCTGAAGCTAGCATTACTAAAAAAGATGAAAGCATTGGTGAAATAGATCATAGTGATTTGCCAGAAGACTTGTCTAATGTGGAGATAGATGAAAATGCACCTCATGAAGGACGAACACGAAGACCACCAGGTTGGATGAGAGACTATGAGAGTGGTCAAGGTCTCTCTGAGGAAGAAGAGGTGGACTTTCCTTACTTAGCTTTGTTCACTGACAGTGATCCTATATTTTATGAAGATGCAGTGAAAAATGAGAAGTGAAGGCAAGCTATGAACTCAAAAAGTGAAGCAATAGAAAGAAATGATACTTGGGAAATGACAAAACTACCACCTGGCAGCAAGATTATTGGGGTGAAGTGGGTTTATAAAACAAAACTCAATGTGAATGGAGAAGTGGACAAGTACAAGGCTCGGCTCGTTGCAAAAGGTTACAGTCAAAAGTATGGAGTGGACTATGTTGAGGTATTCGCACCAGTGGCTTGGTTGGATACCATTCGAGTTTTGACTTCACTTGATGCGCATAAAGGTTAGATGATCTACCAACTAGACGTCAAGTCTTCTTTCCTACATGAAGAGATAAATGAAGAAGCTTTTGTTGCACAACCTCTTGGCTATGAGAAAAGGGGTTAAGAACACAAGGTGTACAAGCTTAAGAAAGCTTTATATGGATTGAAACAAGCTCCTCGATCGTGGTACAGTCATATAGAGTCTTATTTTGTCAAGGAAGGCTTCAAGAAGTGCCCATATAAGCATACTTTATTTATCAAAATAGCAAATAAAGGTAAAATTCTGATTGTTTGTCTTTATGTTGATGATCTCATATTCACTGGAAATGATGAAATTATGTTCAATGATTTCAAAAGATCCATGATGGTTAAATTTGATATGACTGATCTTGGAAACATGAGTTATTTTCTTGGTATTGAGGTAATGCAAAGGCCAGATGGTGTCTTTATTGGCCAGCGAAAATATGCACAGGAGGTGTTGGATAGATTTAATATGGATCGATGTAATTCAGTGTATAATCCAATAGTTCCTTGGTCTAAGCTCATGAAGGATGAAGATGGAGTAAGGGTAGACAACACACTTTACAAATAGATAGTCGGAAGCCTCATGTATTTGACTGCCACACGTCCTAACATAATGGTCATAGTTAGTTTGATCAGTAGATATGTGGAGTGTTCCATAAAGATGCATCTACAACCGGCAAAAAGAGTGTTGTGATATGTGAAGGAAACAATCAGTTTTGAGGCATTCTACAAGAAGAGAGGAAATCGGGAACTTATGGGCTACCTGGATAGTGATTATGAAGGTGATCAGGATGATAGAAAGAGAACTTTGGGATATGTTATTTTTTTTATGAGTTCAGGTGTTGCGTCCTGGTCCTCAAAGAAACAGCCAGTGGTTACTTTTTCCACCACTGAAGCCAAGTTTATTTTTGTGGCATCTAGTGCTTGTTGCATAGTATGGTTAAGGAGAATTTTAAAGGAGCTCAGTCATAATCAATGTAAGTCTACAATGGTGTACTGCAACAACATCTTAACCATCAAACTCTCAAAGAATCCAGTAATGCATGGTCGTAGCAAACACATCGATGTTCGTTTTCACTTTCTTCATGATCTCACCAAGGAACAAGTTGTTCCTTGATTGATCATGGCCTTGATAACACCAAGCATTGACACTATCCCAACCTCCATTCTCAATTAATTAAGGATGGCGACTAGGTTGATATCCTTGCCTATAGGACACACTAAATGTAGCCACACTTTGTATTGTGGACCTTTCGATATACTGCGACATAAGAGAAGTAAGATTCGTCATTTGAGCTTGAAGATTAGTAATTGCCATGTCTTGCTTCTGATAGGAGCATATTCATGCGACTTAATTAGTTTGTTCTCGTGCATTTATGTTGTGTTTACTTAGTTATTTTAGTGTTTAAGGCCACTTTTGTGTATTTTCAGATTATAAGGCCAAAGTATGCAAGAAGATGCAAATTGGAGACTTTTGGAGCAAAAGAGGAATGAATGAGTTGAAGACTTGAAGAAACGACGAATTCCTACTCCAATGATGAATTCCTACCAAAACGAGGATTCCTACTCAAACAAGGATTCCTACTTGAAGTAGGAAAGTTAACCCTAGGTTTCCCGTTTTGGTAACCTTTCCTAATCTTAAACATCCGTATTTTCTAGCCACCTTGAAGGCCTTGTAGGTACTTTAGGACACAAAACAAAGGCCTTAGCCCCTTTAAACCTCCTTGCCGTGCCTTTCCCCTAATTCCCTTCCCTTGCTGTGCAAGGGGGGGTAGTTTTGTCCAAGGTTAGGTACTTAAACCCTATTTCCCTCTCCTAACCTAACCCTAGCCGCACCTTGCAGCCATCCCCTTTAATTTCTGATTTAATTCCCTAATTCTAGCAGCTCTTAATTGAATTTTAGTTAATAAAAATAAGCTAGGGTTTGATTTTCTTAAACCCTAGGTTTTCCACCACCTAGCCGCACCCTAGGGACCTCTCATTATTTCTTTTCAGATTTTTCAGCCACAAAAGCATCTCAGCCACAAAAATCCTTTTTAGCCGCACCCTAGGTTTAAACTTTCCATTCATTCACAAAACCATCTCAGCCGCACCTATTTTCTAACCCTAGAGCCTTATTCATTCATTCTATTCAGCCACCATCATACACATATCCTCCCTAAGCCGTCACCCCCATCATCAATCACCCTAATCCGCAGCTTTCCCCCTTCATTCCAGCAACTCCCCACCATTGCCGCAGCATTCACCACCCATTCCAGCCTTCCCCCATCCTTGCCGCAGCCACCATATGAAGGAAGATTTGTGAAAAAACAAGTTCATTTGAGCAACATCAACAACATGCAATTAACAATTAAAAGGCGGAATCATGTTTATATGCACTCAAAAACAAAACTTAACCCATGAACTTCAAAGCCTAGTAGATAGGTGAACCAAGACTCAACTCAAAACAAAGTGAGTTGAGAAATCAATACCTTTGTAGATTCCTCTTTGCATAAGCAAAGGCTAATCACCCAAAGAGAGTGCCTTCATTCCTTGCATCTTAGATCCATGGATTTGGATGGATGAAAAGGTTTCTCCAAGTTCCCAAAATTGAGAACCTCTAATGATTCATCACCAAGGCATAATGAAGAAGAAATGAGTGACCTTGGAGGAGTTTGATTGCTAGATGATCCCTCCAAGGTGGCCGAAATTTTAGAGAGAAAGGAGAGCTTGTGTTCTCATCCTTTCCCCAAAAATTACCACACATCAATTTTAGGCTATAAAGTCCTTTATATAGTCCCTTCAAATAAGTGACCTAATGGACCAAAAGCCCTATTCTTCTAACATGGCCGGCCTATAGGGTTTATTGGGCTTTCAAGCCCTTTGTTTATTCAAGTTGTCATACAACTTGAGTTAATGGGCTTGACATTCAAATCCCATTGGGCCTTGCGGCCCAAAACTAACCCGAGGTCTTTAACGAACTTATTCGTTTGATTAATTAACATATTAATTAATCCTAGCCTTAGATAAATAATTAAACCATTTAATTATTCTTACTCATCTCCGTTGTTTCTTCAAACTCTACCTTACTCGGTGAACGATCCATTAGGTTCCTTTTAGCGAGGCAGTGGGCGATTAAAAAACTCTTTCTAATCGATTGTGAATTGAAACTTACTTTCAATTCTCCCTTTAGTGATTATACACGTTTAGGGCTTCCACAAACCATGGTTGACGCCTAGCAGCATGTCATGGTTACCCAAGCTAATCAGAAGAGGTGGAGAACCTATTCAGTTTTAGGATTACAAATGCAATACGGTCTTTCTCTAATACAATACTCTTGACCACATTGTTTGGTTTGATAGTTTATTCATGTCTACTATCCAATGTGAATCTTGTACTTATATGATTACCTTGAATGTGATCTGGAACGCATTCCAACATCTCATTCATACTCTGGCCAGAGATTCTAAATCATATCATAGAGTATTCTCCCTCAAACAGTTTGAAGGTTAGAGATCCCTTGTTGCGCATTCACTTGCCTCCATGGCTAAGTGGCTTAACCCCGACGATGCCGTGGACACCCTGATAGAGTGACTTTTGACATAATCAAAGATCAAGTACCTAACCACAAGACAGCTGTGATGCCTCAGGTCAAAGGACTACTTTGCATTATCCCAACCATGAGTTCTCATGTGACATGAATATGAGAACTCCTCGTTGATCGTGTTCAGTGAACTCATTCTCTATTGAGCACCTACATGCTTGTCTTGGTGTCACTCACACCAATGACTCGAGACTAGTCACTCTCCCTGAGAGAAGACACAGCACGTACTGATCTTAACGGACTGTCAATGCCCAATTGGCAATCCTATGATCAGGAACGTTTAGGATGTGTCTACGAAAGAATGGTCTCATGAATCTAACTTCTTTAGATCGCATTCTCCCAATCACATATTCCTTGGACTTATCGTTTAAGCATATAACATTTATATGAGACAGCTCAAACAATAATGTTTGCCCTTAATATTAAACTAGATTAGTTTAACATGTGAAATGTCCATAAAGTATCATCATATGATTGGTTTTAGGGCACATTTCCAACACCATAACCCTTCCAGCCACCTTCCACACCTCCATACACCATCCCACCACCTTGCCGCACCACCAAACCTCCCTAAATCCATCCCTAAACGAGAAAATCATCCAAACAGACCATACAACCTCTCTGCCGCAGCAAGAAGAAAGGAGAAAAAGGGCTTGAAACGCGCAGAAATTCAAGTGGATTTGTTGGGCGTTTTAGGTGTAATCAATCCTTTGTTCTCTATGTTTAAATTCAATTTTATTTCTCTTTCTGTGAACATGAGAGGCTAAATCCCTAGTTAGCTAGGGGGTGATTCGAAACCATGTTTATGCTTGCAATATGAATTGATTACCTTTGGTTGGAAATTCATGAGTTGTGGATTCAATTTGTTTAACTGTTTGATTGATAACTTATTTATGTATGTTTATTGAGAGTGCACGCTTAATTTTCATGCATGAATATGACGCTAGAATATAAGTGAGTTTCACCTAATAGTTATGAACTTATATTCACAAGTAGTGGAGGTTGCTTATAAACAATCGCGTTAAATGAATTCTTGGCACTAGTTTCATGCTCATCATAGTAACGAATGCCTCGTCAACACTTATAGTTTTCATGATGCTTAATGATCTTTGATTGTATCTTTATTGTGCTTTTCACGTAAAGGACTTTTGGAGAATGTTTTGAATTGCGCATGCGCTGTCCCATCCAATTCATTAGCTTAAGGAGAACTTGACGGTTAATTTAAGCGGACCTAATTAACCCGGGGTGTTGAGTTTCATAATTCATCGAAAGACCAACTGAAAATCATCTTGTATGCAAGTGTAACATGTGTGGAGAAGAACCTTCTAGTTAGCATTTCATCCATATTT